GCCATTATTTTCAAAGTCGATGAAGTTGAGGTAGAGTTGGGTTCGACTGCCATTCTATTATGATAAGCATAGGCTAGTCATCATCATTAAATTCCCTATGAAATTAAAGAATCAGATGACTGTCATTTAAAGAAACATGTTTGTGTTACTTAACTCTACTTTGGAGCTGGACTATAATCCCATTTCCGCAGTCGTTAGTGTTATATGAAACTTGGAGTAGGAGATCAATAGGGGAAGACAAAGAGGATCTGAAACCAAGATATAAGAAATATGAACTTGAAAGTCATGAAAAGGTGGCTTTACATTTACTAATGTGGTCTTAGTTTATTTTCCCGCCAAAAGAAAAACAACCTTGAACGTATTGAGTGCGTCCTTCATATATGATGTAGCACTCCATTATAAGCATAAAGTTAGTCACTTTTATGTTAGTTGTTTGTTTATGTTACTGTTTAAGGTGAGAATAACAGAAGTGGATATTTTAGAGTTGGGATATTGAAAAGATAATCAATAAAGAGCTTCATATGCCAGTTTTACTTTTACTGACACTCATCAGTAAGGCACACCTAGAAGCTCTAGTTTCGTGGACTGGAATCAGTGTCTCTCAGTGCTTCTTGAAAAATGAAGTATGAAACACTAAAACCTAAGGATACTTATGACATAAACAGAAAACTGTACTGCGATGGGATTCGAACTAGCGACTACCAAGTTTTCAGCCCGATGTTCTACCAACTGATGAGATCAAACTGCTAACCAGATTTTCATTTCACTTCAATCACCATGTGAATTAGTAACACGTTACTACCACTTGATCGTACTTAAATGGCAGTCGAGGTCAAATAAAAATCGAGTCAGCACTTGTACCCCCATAGTTGAGTTGCTAAAGTATTGGGCAAAGAACCTGGTGGTCTCTGGTTCGAATCCCACCACTATCCAAATTTCCATTTCACCTTCAATTATCACTCAATATCAATACTAGTCTACCAAACCACGCTTACTATCTGGAATGATATTTTCAGCTGAAATAGTGTAATTCCTGAACATACATTTCATTTACATAATGTTCATCTCCAAAGAAATTAATCAATAAATGTCATTTAAGAGGATGGGACACTATCAGGGTCAAAAAATCTGATGTCCGGTGAACATGTTTTTTCATTCCAAACCGTTGTTTTTCTTAATTTTCCAATAATTGAAGTTATATTTTCATCGAATAAATGAATTTATTCTAGGAGGTCATAAGCTAGCATAACTCTCTTCACTAGTGATCAACGTTCTATATGATGTTTCGTACAGTTCAAAGGAATCTTCATAAACTTATATGTTAAGCGAGAAAATAATGATGGATAATGGAGAATACTGAAACCTGGGTAGCTTATTTTATCCTATTTTAGACTCATTAGATGGATATACCTGAAACTCAATGAATAATTCAATCTAATCAATAATAGGAAATTACTCAGTGCTCGTTTGGAGAGATTAGTCATGGTTTGAAGTCTGATTAGGAACATTATCACTAACTGATCGATGTGTACAACTATGTTCAACTTCACTTACTTTGTGACAATCAACCCTCTACCTCAACTTCATCGACATGGAAAAGGCTTTCGACAGCGTCGATCGAGAAGTAATTTGACTGACAGCTGCTTCAACACTACGGAATACCATAAACCTTTATCAACCTCAATCAACAACTATATGGAGATGCCACATGCCAAGTAATTCACAATCGAAAGCTCAGTGATGCTTTCGAAGTGAAGACAGGAGTGAAGCAAGCCTGTTTACTACCATCGGTGATATTTCTGATTGTGGTGGACTGGATCATGCAGCAAACCTTGAGGGGTGAGAAGAGGGTGATACGCTGGACTGCGAAGAAGATCCTAGAAGATTTAGATTTCGCCGATGACTTGTATCTGATGACTTTGAAAGTCCCAGTGAAGATATTTATGATGACATTGAAAAATAAAGTGATCACGAAGCAGTTTTATGCACAAACTAGTCTCAACTGATTGATGATACAATCATGTACTTCATGTTATCATGTAGATTAAGAAAGGAGAAAAATTTGACTTCTCATAGTTTATCATCATTCATTTTAGTTTCATATTGTTATCTCCAGTAGTCAAGATCTGCACAAGTTGAGGTCTGTTTGTATCAATCATCTTAACAGGTAGAAAGCTGCTTTTTCAAGGTCCATTGGCAATGTTCAACATTTACTAACAATAAAACATTCACTGACAACAAATTGGTTGTTAAAATAACATACTGATGGATGAATAAGCAGATTATGTTAGTCAGGTTACATTTTTAGACTTTAGATATCAATATATTGGGCTTTTCCGCTTGATACTGTTCATGTGGTTAGCATGAATTCATGTACAAATGAAACTTCGGACAGATTATATAGCATTGATGAGACTCATTTAATCTCTCCGCTGGCAGAAAGGTACATTCCGTAAACTTGTTACTCTTTGTTGCTGCGAAAAAATAAGATCTTTATAGGTCAGCAAGTAGATTCATTTGTACACCGTTGAGAGAAACAATAAAAGTATCTCACCTAGCATGGTAATATCAGTCGACTTATTTTATGCAGTTTTAATTTTACTACTCATACAAATAAAAGTAGGTAAATAATTCACAACAAAATTATTGCCATTTGACATGAAATAATGATACAGTATTAATCGCCAGACGATTTTTTGAGTAGGATTCACTGATCATTTTGTTGGCAGACCGTGTACAAATTTATCACTAGTAGACAGCTTAAAGTCTTTAAAACACTTAGATCACTTAGTAAAAGGCCTAACTTTAAAGTGAATTCCCGTTTCTAGTGATAATTAAACAGTACACTATAAGAGTAAACTCTTCATATGATAATGGTATCTGATTAAATACCATAAGAAACAATCTTTGGTTGATTGTAGCTGGGAGAAGAATCCAGGATGCGCTTTTCGTCCTAGTTGGGAATCGTTAGCTGCATGTACCTGTACCCAAGTGATGTTGTTCCCATTGACACTCAAACCTCGTACCTATCGCTTCAAACACCAAGGCGTTATACACTATCCCAAGGAGGGATGATAGCAACTTCTTGTACAACCGGTAGTGGTCATTACTATTTATTGGCAACTGCTTCAACACTACGGAATACCACAAACATTTATCAACCTCATTTAACAACCAAGTGACAATGCCACATGCCAAGTAATCCACAATGAGAAGCTCAGTGATGCCTTCAAAGTGAAGATAGGAAGGAGTAGGACAAGGCTGTCTGCTATCACCCATGATATTCCTGATTGTATTCGACTGGATCATGCAGCAAACAGTGAGAAGTGAGAAGAGGGTGGTAGGCTGGACCACGCAGAAGAACCTAAACGACTTGGATTTCACCAATGATGACTTGTATCCAACGTCACACAAACTCGAAGATGTAGAGACAAAAACTAACAAGTTGACAGAAGAGGTAGTGCAGTGCAGTGCAGTGCAGCGAAGACGGGACCTCAAGTGAAGGTAGAGAAGATAGAGGTGATGAAGATACTCAACCAACACCTACAACGACAGCAACAACAGGCTCCAATCACCACCACCACCACCACCACCACCACTACGGGAGAAACTTGAAGGAAGTAGCCTGTTTCATCTACCAACTAGGCTGGGCAGCATCGTTTCAACTACAGGTGTTGGCACAGACGAGGTTGTCAAATCCAGACACGATAGGAAAGACAGTAAGACACGCCTTCCTTCATTAACCTGAAACCAGTGTGGAGATCTTCTACACTCAACTCAGTATAAAGCGTGAACAACATTCGGATTTTCAACACTAATGTCAGTGAAGCCAGTCAGTGCTTCTATGTGATGGTTGAGGATGTTGGCATGTTATGAAAGGTATTTCCAGCAAACTACAGACATTCATGAACAGCTGCCACCTACACTCACTCGTTACTGAAGATCAGATGGTTAGAATGAATAGGCAACAGAGAACCCTGGCTTCCTGGAGACGAACCAACGAAGCAAGAACCTATCACTCAACAAATATGCAGCGAAAAAGAAGTGGAGAGAGATAGCTTATGGGCAGTCATGGTCCCGGGTTGAGAAGATTACAGAGAACAGAGTGGAATGAAGACAAATAATAATAATTATTATTATCTACATACTTTTTATTCCCCGTTGTTTGTTTTATTGGTTCAAGGCTAGCGGAAGAATCAAGGACACGTGTTTCATTGAACAATGCACTTCAACAAAACAAACAATAAAGAATGACATGTATGTCGATACTGTGTACTGTATAGTAACAAAAATTTTTTTCATAGAGGTCATAATTTAATTATTATTTAGTTTTGAGGGAGTTATGGGGATTTGGAAATATTTCGAATTGTTATTCATTGTAGAATGATATCAGTTGGAGGCAAAAAGGGAACCTGAGAGCACTGGACAACCAGCTGTTTCGTCCGACTAGTATGGGACTCCTCATTATTGCGCATCCACGACCTCACCCTCCCCGGATCGAACCCGTGACCTTCAGGCTCCACGGCCAGCGCGTTACCACTGAGCTAGCCACAGGTCAGAATCCAATCCTCCATATTTCCAATTTCTGTTAGCCCACGATATAGTGCAACCGCCACCCAATGCCATTGGTGAGTAAACTGTCCTCATGACCATCAGGCTTTGACTCCACCGGTTACGACTTCTCATTTGAACTTCGGGAATACTTCTCGAAGCTAGTCTTCAATGAGCACCAGTTCGTGAGCTAAGAGACGTTGGAAATATGGAGGATTAGATTCTGACCCAGTGATTAGCTCAATGGTAACGTACTGGCCACGGAGCCTGAAGGACACGGGTTCGATCCGAAAAGGGTGGGGTCCCATACTAGTCTGACGAAACAGTTGTCCAGTTCTCCGAGGTTTCTTTTGTTCCTCCAACTGATGTCAGTCTACAATGAATAACAACTTGAAATATATATATATGCCATTCTATTACTGTAATAAGACAAATAGAAAAAACACAGGTCAATGAAATCAACTTTATTTTCTGGAAATATTCTTTCCTTTTGGAAATAAATCATAATAACACAAATTACATATGAATAAAACATTAAAATTTTTATTATTTTTTTCCGTCAAATACTCCGTACATACTTTTGAAGTATGTACTGTATCTACTGTATATTATTATAGTAAAGATGGAAGTTATACAATATATCAATATCTATATGTTATGACAATTTTATATCTGTTTATCCCCTTTCTAATCATCACTTCAACAATAATATAATGTGTTAAAATCGATAAACTAAGAAATAGAGAAAATGAGAAAGGAGAAGAAAGAGAAAATAGTTCAAAGATATGATCACTTTTGATTGACTCCTCAATATAATCGATTTTTTAAACAGTTTTCTACATACAACGAACTAATTTGGTTTCAATGGATTTAATTGGTATTATTCGTGTCTCTCTCTCTCTCTCTCTCCTACCATCTCTCACTCTCTCTCTCTCTCTCTCTCTCTCTCTCTCTTATCTATATATATATATATATATATATATATATATAACAATGAAGATAGTCTTGTCAACATATATACTAGAGTTAAGTTAAACAAATAGAGAAGAGTAAGTGAGAAACAAAGAGAAAAATATATGGAAAAACAAAAGTTGTGTTTTGTTTAATTTTTTTCTTTTTCATTGGTTGTATATTAATAGATTCATTGAGAATTATTACTCTGATCTTATCGATTAAGACGAAAAAATAGAGACAAATAATTATATAACTATTTGGAATTGAACAATGATTGGAATTCTACTAGGGATACAATGAAATGTTATCCCCTGTTTGTCGATCTATCTGTCTGTCTGCCTGTCTGTGTGTTTTTCAACCGCCATCTTAGATATCCATTGAACTGAGATACTCCATCAGTTGAAAAAGTAAACATACATTAGTAGTAATAATAATAATAATAATCACAACAGTTATATTCATGGTATTGATAATAGTATGACATTGAAAAAGTCTAAACGAAAAAGGGTACCTTAACACATTAATTGAATATTATTCAATCATATTCTTCAGTCACCTTAAAAATTATTTAAAAGTGAACAATACCCTTTCAAGGTCATTCAATATGATCACTTGTTCAATAGATGGTTTCATTCAAGAAATTTAAAGAACAATTAGATAGAAATATACTCTGTAAAAATCATCCATTGTAAATTCAAAGAAGGCGCGAAGAAATTCGAGCAATAGTTATAACCGTTAAACAAGTTCAATGTTTCAATGTTGAAACATTGAACAATACTTTTTTTTTCTTGAAATAAAAAAAAACAATACAAGATTAGTTTGATGAAATCCTAGGAAAAAAAAAAAAGAAAACTGATATAGGAAATCACAATACAGGACCAGCCTGTTAGACAAATATGTGTACATCTCTTTATATGAATTGAGAAACAAAAGGTTGAAGAGAACAATTAATCAAGGAAAGTTAATCAACGTACATTTATCAAGACATTCAGAACAGAATGGTATAACAATCAATGGAATGAATAAACAAGTTAATGAATTAATTATTCATTGTAAAATAAGCATTTATAGATCAATAGTTTGTCCCTTCCTGTGAATATATATATATATATATGTATATCCTTTATAAGTTGGTTCGATTAGTAATTACTTCATTTCGATGCTTACCATCATATACATACATACATACATACATACATAGCGTATTACATAATCATCTGTACAACACATTTGAGAATGTTATCCTTCAACTAATTGATGGTTTCATAACAGGTTTGAATATGAAGAAAATAAGCGTATAGAATTATACTTCATATAGATTGAATAGGATAAAGTATTAATCCATACTAATATAATGATTATGTAATTATCAAGATTTTTGTCTAGTAACAACTTTTATTAATGAAAAACCTATAGTAATATACCTTAATAATTTACTATTATATTTATATAGATATATAAAGTAGATAGTTATATATTCAATGAGAATAATCAACTTTGAAAGTCTTTTGCTTCATCAATCATATCTTTATAAAGTTTAGAATTTAAAAAACGTGGATATGAATCTCTATGCATAAGAGTATAGATTTGTAATTGAGCTTCATCAAATATATGCGGTGTTGGTTCAATCATATTACTATTGATAATTTCACGTACTCGAGAATCTAAACTAACCTAGAAAACATAATAATAATAATAATAATAATTTCATTGATAAACTATAATGTAAAGTCTCTATGACGATTATAGATACCCATCCTAGTTGAACATAACAGCTTTAGTATGTCAATCTTTTCAACGTATCTCCACAATTGTCCATTACCTTTCATTTCTTCCTCATATCATCTCTTTCAACTCATCGTTTTCCATGTGGGTTCCATTGACAGCCTGGACTAGCATCTTCTCAGTGTATATCGAATCTATCTCCACTTCCTTCTTCTAAATATTTATTAGGCGATAGATTCTTGATTGATTGGTTGGTTAGTTGCTAGACCATAGTTCATTGTTCTTTATTCTTTCTGGTCTTCTGATCTGATCTTCAGTGTCAGTATCGAGTAAGCTTAACTGACAGCTGTTCATGATCAATGTGTACAGTTTGTTGGAAATGCTTTTCGTAATGCGCCAACTCTCTCAATCGTTACATTAAAGTAGGCACTGACTTGAACTTGAGTGAATGAGTGTTGAAAATCTCGATGTTGTTCATGGTTTATACCGAGTGTAGTGCAGTAGATCTTCACAATGATTTCAGAATAATGTGAGAAGGCTTATCTTTCTGTCATTCCAACCCTGGCTGGCTTTGACATCGTCAATTATACCGCCGTCGCCGCCTGTAGCTGAAACGATGCTGCCTAGGTAGGTAGACAGGTAGGTAAAAGAGACAACCTCTTTAGATTTCTCCCGTTCATGGTAATTGGTGCTTGTTGTTGTTGTTGGTTGCTTGAATATCTTCATCACCTTTGTCTTCTCTATGTTCGCTTGAAGGTAGTTCCGTCTTCGATGCCTCGCCTCACCTCTTCTGCCAACTTGTTAGTTTTCACATGTAAATCTTGAGCTTGTGCGACATTCGACTAAATTATCGGCAAAATCATCTAGGGTCTTTGTCTTTTCATTGGTCAAACAGCGTATGCCCATCTTTTCATAGCTCTTCACAACTGTTTATTGCATGATCCAATCCAGTCCAGTCGACCACAGTCAGGAAGATCATAGGTAATAGTAGGCGGCAACCTTGTCTTACTCCTTTCATGTCTTCACTTCAAAGACATCAATGAGCTTTCCACTGTGAATCACTTGGCATGTGGCATCATCAACATCATATAGCTGTAGTGTTGAGTGGAGTGGAAAGTAGTTGCGTAATAATTGTCTCGACAATACAAATTATACGCAAAGCAAGGACTTTGAAAAGGCAAAAATTGTTGGTAGATGTGAAATGCGAAGATTGTTTATGAAAAATAATTTTCAAAAATGATATAGTAGCGGAAATCCTGAAGTATTATTAAGTTACGGGTAATTTCCCGTTGCTATACACAGCTGAATCGCTCGACCTCTATTGGCAGACGGACTCCTATGCGGAGGCCTCGATACTGTCGGATATTCATGATGTTATATGGATGAATCTTGCTGACTAGCAAAGGAATCCAGGACATGCATTTCGTCCGATTTGGGGCTCATCGCCTGGATGTGATATTGTTCCAGTTATGGCTGAAACTCAGTACTCATCTCTTGAAATGATAAGCCTCTGGTGCACCATAGTTATCTCGGATATCACCTGCCTTTCGCCCCCAGTGGGTTTAAGAGAAACCATCTGGCGTTTGGAATGATGGGTACCTGGTTCAAGCCCTGGTGGGAAAGACATCACTCACTGTGGTGCACGTACATCCAACCGACAAGTACAAATAGGAATCACTATGATTAAAAGAGCATCCTAAGCAATTGGCTGTCCAATCACTCAAGATGATATTTTTTTCCTGTGAAGTTGTAGATCAACTTCTCTAATTAACAACTGGTTCCATTGTGTTGTAATGAAAAATTACCACTTTGTGCTACATCAACTTACAATTACAAATTTAATTACTTCAGTAGATATTCTATATAGGCTGTACAAAATGCCAAATTTTTAAACGTATCTCTGAACACTATCCTGTCAATTAATAGTTCAATTCTTGAACATTTAACCACCATGATCCTTTTCAGTGTCTTTTACAAAGTCAAAGAGAATAGTTTAAAAGGTGTACACTTTAAAAAGTTGTGCATAGCAGAATTACTAGGAATTCATCAATTCTTCGCTTCTAAATTCAATGGACATCCTTCAGCGTTATTTCTTACAGTCATGAGACAAACTGTGCATAACAATAATTATAAGGTGGGATAAGAAAAACAGCCTATATTTCACAGTAATCACATAACTGTAGAACTAGTAGCCTCTTAGCTTAGTTACTACTTGTAATTCAATATAACCACAGTCTAAACAACATTTATACCTCAGTGTGTTGACATTGGTATTCGTCAAAAATGTTGCAATATCATGTTAGATATCTTCTTCAGTCAAGGTCATGTATCCTGGTGACACCGTCTAATGTGATAAAGAAACTATTATCATTATTATTTATCGCTTGAATTCCTAGTGGAATATAGCGCTTCACTGGCACGCTTTCATTCCACTCTATTCTCTGCAGTCTTTTCAAACTGGCGCCACCACTGCCCACAACCTCTCATTTATTCCTCACACAATCTCATCCATGTCACCCTCAACTCCAACGCCCAACTCGCCGTCTCCCATCTGGATTCCACTCAAGCGCCTTACGTGATTCGTGATGTCCCCAATCGGTCTCCTCAGTGTATACACAATACATCTCCATCTCCACCTCCAGTTCACTCTGCATATTTGTCGGCTGATAGCTTCTTACTTCTTTGGTTCGTCAAAAGCCAGCCAGCCAGCCAGCCAGCCAGCCAGCCAGCCAGCCAGCCAGCCAGCCAGCCAGCCAGCCAGCCAGCCAGCCAGCCAGCCAGCCAGCCAGCCAGCCAGCCAGCCAGCCAGCCAGCCAGCCAGCCAGCCAGCCAGCCAGCCAGCCAGCCAGCCAGCCAGCCAGCCAGCCAGCCAGCCAGCCAGCCAGCCAGCCAGCCAGCCAGCCAGCCAGCCAGCCAGCCAGCCAGCCAGCCAGCCAGCCAGCCAGCCAGCCAGCCAGCCAGCCAGCCAGCCAGCCAGCCAGCCAGCCAGCCAGCCAGCCAGCCAGCCAGCCAGCCAGCCAGCCAGCCAGCCAGCCAGCCAGCCAGCCAGCCAGCCAGCCAGCCAGCCAGCCAGAGGTCCACTTGCTTATTCTTATTATTCTCGCCATCTCATCTCATCTCATCTCATCTCATCTTCAGTATCGAGTGAGCGAGCGTAGGTGCTAGCTGTTGATGAATATCTGTAGTTTGTTGGGAGTGCTTTTCGTGACACGTCAACTCTGTCAACCATCACATAGAAGCACTGACTCACTTGACTGACATTAGTGTTGAAAATCCGAATGTTGTTCTTGCTTTATGCTGAGTTGAGTGTAGAAGATCTCCACACTGGCTTCAGGTTAATGAAGGAAGGCGTGTCTTGTTGTATTTCTGATCCTGGTTGGATTTGACATCTTTGTCTGTGGTGCCGACGCCTGTAGTTGAAACGATGCTGCCCTGCTTAGGTAGGTGAAAGAGATTACTTCTTCTCAGTTTCTCCAGTTGATGGTGATTGTAGCTTGTTGTTGTCGGTGATGGTCACTACATCCACTTGAAGTCTCGTTTTTGCTGCCCTGCCTCTACTGTCAACTTGTTAGTTTTTGCCTTTTGGACCTTTGAGTTTGTTCCACAAGACATTAGACACAAGTCATCATCAGCGAAATTCAAATCTTCTAGGATCTTTTCCCTGATCCAGCAAGCGTATCTCCTTCTTCTCACTCCTCAATGTTTGTTACATGATCCAGTAGACCACAATCAGGAAGATGACTGGTGATAGTAGACAGCCTTGTGTTACTCCTGCTTGTCTTCACTTCAAAGGCATCGCTAAGATTTCCATTGAGAATTACTTGGCATGTAACGTCGTCTTATAGCTGATGTTGAATGAAGTTGATGAAATTTTATGGTATTCCATAGTGTTACAACAGTTGCCTGTCAAATCGCTTCTTGATCGACTCTGTCAACAAAAATTCCAGTTCAGTAAACAACTCAATTACAAAGTCTGAAAGGATATAGAGTGAACAAATGTTATGAATGAATGACTATAAACAGATAACTTACTTCACGTGGTGATAATATTGATATAAAATCTTCATATATAATACGAGCTTTCTCTTCAACAATTTCTAAATTAGTCTCCTTTCTAATATCTTCACAAGCAAGCCAAAACATAATATTCTCTTCACTGTATTCTGATCGAAGAAATTCACGAAACATTTTTTGACCGCCTAAATCAATGGAAACAAGAAACAAATTAAGTACTTCTGTTCAAAGATATTAAACGATATACAACGGAACTGGCTAGAGCTATCATAACAATGGTCTAATAGACAATGTTTTGATGTTTGAAGTGATGGGTTCTTGGTTTGTATCTCGGTGAGAATAGCAACACCCACTGCAGCTCAAGTATGTCCAGTAAACAAGTCCCATATGGGATGAAATACGTATATTGAATTCCTTTACTATCTACTATATCATTATTACTTGTCGCTTGAATTCCTAGTGGAACATAGTCTCCATTACACTTTATTCTCTGCAGTCTTTTCAAACTGGCGCCACCACTGCCCACAAACTCTCATTTATTCCTCACACAATCTCATCCATGTCACCCTCACCTCATCTCCAACGCCCAACTCGCCGTCTCCCATCTGGATTCCACTCGAGTGCCTTACGTGATGCATGATGTCCCCAGTCGGTCTCCTCAGTGTATACCCAATACATCTCCATCTCCACCTCCAGTTCACTCTGCATGTCTGTCGGCTGATAGCTTCTTACTTCGTTGGTTCGTCAACGACCAGCCAGCCAGCCAGAGTTCCTTCTTGCTTATTCTTATTATTCTAGCCATCTCATCTCATCTCATCTCATTTCATCTTCAGTATCGAGTGAGCGAGCGTAGGTGCTAGCTGTTGATGAATATCTGTAGTTTGTTGGAAATCCATTTCGTAATGGGCCAACTCTCTCATCCATCACATAGAAGCACTGACTCACTTGACTGACTGACATTAGTGTTGAAAATCCGGATATTGTTCACGCTTTATGTTGAATTGAGTTTAGAAGATCTCCACACTGGTTTTAGGTTGGTGAAGAAAGGCGTGTCTTGCTGTCTTTCCGATCGTGTCTGGATTCGACATCCTCGTCTGTGCCGCCGCCTCCTGTAGTTGAAAGAGACTACATCCTTTCAGTTTTTCCCGTTGGCGGTGATTAGAGTTTGTTCTTGTTGTTGGTGGTGTTGGTTGGTATCACCATTACCTCCATCTTCTCTACATTCACTTGAAGTTCCTTCTTCCCTCGCTGCCCTGCCTCTACTGTCAACTTGCTGGATTTTGCCTTTAGATCTTCGAGTTTGCATGACATTAGACACATGTCATCATCAGCGAAATTCAAATCTTCTAGGATCTTTTCCTTGGTCCAGCAAGCGTATCTCCTTCTTCTCACTCCTCACTGTTTGTTACATGATCCTAGTAGACCATAATCAGGAAGATGACTGGTGATAGTAGACAGCCTTGTGTTACTCCTGCCTGTCTTCATTTCAGAGGCATCACTGGATTTCCACTGTGAATTACTTGGTATGAAACCCTGTCCTAAAATTTATTATAGTGATAAGAATTCATTTCTCACCTGGACTCCTCATTAGAATATCAAATGATTCTGCCCACTTCTTCATTTCTTCTAATGTAATTCTGAAATCAGAAATTCAGAGATTACGATTTGTGAGAAAGGGGAGAGATTAACAAAATGTACTTTAAAGCATATCAAAGATAAATTCGTCTGTTATCTGTTCATTCAGTAGATCCTACTCAACAGGTAGATGAATATAGAATGGTTTATAGGCTGTATGATATAAAGACTTGTGATATGTTTCAATACATTCTAGATATCTCTTCGTCTGAATCCCCCTTGGAACAGAAATATGCATTTGAAGTATATCATTAGATTTATGAAGAAGATCTCCATGTAAAAAAAGTACTATTTTATAAGTATATTGTTATTAGTAAAGAGTAACAAACTAGATAGCTTCTATGTTGTAATGACATTTGTAATTCCCCGTTCCTATATAGGGCCGAAATGCTCGACTTCTGTTGGCAGATAAGCTTCTATGTAGAGGCCTTGATCTTGGTGACCAGTAAAGGAATTTATGACACGAATCTCCACTTATTTGAGACTCAACAGCTGAATGTACCTGCATCTCAGTGAGGTTCGAATCCAGTACTTTTCGCTTTAAAATGCCAAAGTGTTATCCACTTAGCCACTAGGGTACAATAACAATTTCTTGTCAGTTGTTATAATGATACTAGTAATTTCCGTTTGCTGTACAATGGCTTAGTGGATAACGCTTTGAAGTTTGAAGCAAAAGATGCTGGTTCTGAGTCCTCGGTGAGAACACCACTCACTGGGGCACAGGTTTACCCAGCTAACAAGTCCAAAATAGGACCCGACGTGCATCCTGGATTCCTCCGCTAGTCACCAAGATCCATATAACATTATGAATATCCGGCAGTATCGAGCAATTTGGCCCTGCATCATTATTTATTTATTTGTCCCTTGGGTTCTTAGTGGGACATACCGCTTCACTAACACACCTCCATTACACTCTATTCTCTGTAATCTTTTCAAACTGGCGCCACCACTGCCCACAAACTCTCATTTATTCCTCACACAATCTCATCCATGTCACCCTCACCTCATCTCCAACGCCCAACTCGCCGTCTCCCATCTGGATTCCACTCGAGTGCCTTATGTGATGCGTGATGTCCCCAATCGGTCTCCTCAGTGTATACCCAATACATCTCCATCTCCACCTCCAGTTCACTCTGCATGTCTGTCGGCTGATAGCTTCTTGCCTCGTTGGTTCGTCAACAGCCAGCCAACCAGCCAGCCAGCCAGAGTTCCTTCTTGCTTATTCTTATTATTCTCGACATCTCATCTCATCTCATCTCATGTTCAGTATCGAGTGAGCGAGCGTAGGTGCTAGCTGTTGATGAATATCTGTAGTTTGTTGGAAACGCCTTTCGTAATGCGCCAACTGCCAACTGTCTCAACCATCACATAGAAGCACTGACTCACTTGACTGACTGACATTAGTGTTGAAAATCCGAATGTTGTTCATGCTTTATGTTGAGTTGAGTGTGGAAGATCTCCACACTGGTTTCAGGTTAATGAAAGCCTGTCTCGCTTTTCGGATCACAGTTATACTACTTCTTAATAACTACCCTCCGGAACTTACTACAAAGTCTACAAGAACTGATAAGACAAAGAGTGGTAATGTTAGTTATAATGACAACATGCCAAAAAGGGAATTCAAATCCTCTCTAGTCTTACTGTGTAAATAAGACAGTTTGGAAACAATCCTGGATGAGATTAGGTTGGCATTTGAATCCAGAACTTCACTCAGATAGAAACTCTACAGGCTAAAGGGCTATCAAACAATATGTATTCAAGGAAATGTCAAGTATGTGGATTAAAGGAGCTGATTTGGATCAAGTCAGAATAGTTGAGTAGCAAAATTTAGTGAAACACACAGTGATAGACCCTAGAAAGAGAAGTTGTGTTTTTCTATATTGATTTATACTACTTTATAATAATCAGTAGCTAAATTATAGATGTCTCATATTATTGTCATTACTAAAAGTCAAATGATGGTGGAGAATATTTGTAGCTCAGGTTGATGGTCTTTATTTTATTGCGTTCTTTGATCTGGGTCGCTTAGTCGTTCACTTCTCATCGGGTTTCTAGACGACATTATCCACAGCACTAATTTCATTATGCAGTCAATTGTCCACATCTCTCCATTAGTGATTCAGCAGCTTACCCTGACCAACTGGTTTGTGAATGGTTGTCTCCGTTGATTGTTGTGTCATTGACGGACTGAATAGATTTCCCTATTAGCCGTTCGTCTGCTTGACCTCTGACCTTTCTGTCGTTTATCATTTCTCTTACTGGTTGATAGATTAGGTCTATGTGTATACATGCATTATTCCTGACTGTCGTGACTGCCAAGCTTCTAGGAATTCTCCGATATTCTCTGTGTTTCCTCTCTCTGACTAAGATTTCTACACTGTCAAGGTTGAACTCATTTCAAAGATGAAAATGTATGTCAACCACTTGGTTCTACGGTAGACCAAAACTACACAAACCAGACATCTATCTATGACCAATGGTCTCACTTCGGAGAACTCTAACATACAACATATCAAGAGAACTTTCGAGAAAACTGAAACACCTCTTCGAATCATGTAGACATTCCATCAAGTTAAAAATGGAATTCTTAGGAAAATCGAAAACACTAACATAGAAAACGATTGATTAACGGTATCCTTCAATGTTATAGCATTATACAGATCAATGGAACCCTCAGTTGGCCAAGGAAACTGTGTCCTTTCTGCCTCTCACAACGCACAAAACTTAAACGTTCAAGTCTGATGGGACACGTTAATGTTTGTCTGACAACATACTTACAACTCAACTACAAGATATACAAAGAGATGAAAGGAAGTCCAGTGGGATCACCGATATCCTGACTGATTACAGAGGCAGTAGTGCAGAGACTGGAAGCCATCATTCTCTCTGTCGCTATGCGTACAACAGTTTTGTCATTATTATGAAAGATGATGTAGAGGACACTGACAGTCTGATCAACAGCGTTTTCACTGACAACAAATTCACAATGGAGAAGGAGTAAAACAACTAACTACCATTCTTCGATGTTCTCGTCAATAGAATAAATGCTGGAGAGCTGAGCATCCAAGTGTGCAGGAAGCCAACACACACTGATCAAATCCTCAACTACAGTGGCAACAAACCAACAACGCATACAACTAGTTGTGTGTAGACTCTATGTAAAAGAGTGAGAACATACTGCAGTACAACAAATTCACGGAGAAGTGAAGGGAATTACTTGATGTCCAACCCGGCCGAGGAACGGATACCCACGAAAATTTATCACAACATGCCTACTCCCTACATCATCAACTACTCAGTCATCCACAGAAATCAACAAACGCATCATCCTACCATACATAAGAATATATCAGAAATCAGGACAAAATTACTGAGGCAAACCACTGGGAATTGGTGTGGCTCATAAACCAACAAACTCCCTTCAAACACTACTCTGCAGACGAAAGGATGCAACAACGAGAAAAGACAAAGCGAATATCATTTACGAAGTCAACATTACATTGGAAAAAGTGGCCGCCCCCTTCGTCTTCGTCTAAGTGAGCACGAATCGGCTATTAAACGTCACACACGACATTTCATCACTCAATTCAATACACGTGAATAACAACTATGGACATCAGCCGAACATTGACAATGTAGAAATCTTAGAGGAAGCGAGACAACACAGAGTATATCAGAGAATTTCTAGAAGCTTGGCATTCAGGTCAGTCAGCAGTCAATGTATTTATAGACATAGGCTCAATTTGTCAAGCAAGAGGTCGATCAGAGGAACAGCGAACAGGGAAATCTATGCAATCAGTCAATGACACGACAATCAAAGGAAACAATCAATCATAAACCAGTTGGTCAGGACAAGCTAGTGAATCACCGATGTCGTCAAGGAAGACGGTGAAAGCTCCATGATAAAACAATCCAGCTCAGTGAACACAATAATTTCAAGAGTCAAATAATATCTCGTCTCTATGAAGTGGTTATAGTTCGAGCTTCTGAAAATGATCAAGTAATATCTGGATAGTAGACGAAGTTTATTTGGTGTATAATGGATCTTCAATTATCAGCAGCCTTAAGATGATGTTTATATTATCAATACAGTTAAACATTTCAGTGATAATACTGAATTTTACTTGACAAGTTTGAAATTATCGTATCTAGAATGACACAGTTTGTTTAAAGATTGAAGTGTAAAGAGAAATTTATGACCATTTGAAGATGTTTATCAATGTAATTCGTTCAATATAGTTCGTATGGTTAGCATAAGTTCTTCATTATATACAGAAAATAGTTTTGAAAATGACTCACCTTTCATCTGTAACTGGACCGTCTATTGTTGACTGTGGATCATTTGAAGCAGAAGGTCTTTTAGATTCACCAATGTTTGTTCGTACACGCATGCTGAATAAGATAGGTGTAATTAGGAGAATAAATATAAAGTTAGATATCCTTACATTTTTTTATCATTTATTAACAACACACCCAATCTTTTAAATAAATTTGGACCATGACCGGACTCGAACCAGAGACCATAAGGCTTCCTACTCTCGATGCTGTATCAACTGAAGTTCTACTATAGTATTTATAACATTTAACAATAATGTAGAGTAGCATCATTAAGCTAGTGCCTAAAAACACTGAAGTTAAGAATGTGGTTCCGCTTTTCACCAATGTCCCTTTCATGAAAACTATCTATTTTCAATATGATTTCATCAAAGATAATAATTTTCACGTACTTCTAAGATGCGTTTACAATGTGTAACTCAAATTCAACAATGAGGTATATAGACGAAAGGATGGGGTCGCTATGGAGTCACTACTTGGATCACTGCTGACTGATTGATAGTTTCTACTTGTATAAAGGATATATAGATGATATGTTCATCACATGTGATCAAAATATAGATATTCTGACTGTGGTTAAAAGTTCAATGGTTGTCATCTATCGACCAACTTAAAAGAGGACACGGAACAAGTACTCACAGTTCCAAAGAAGATCTTGTTTACGAAAGTTGGTTTCAAAGGTGATACAGTGGCAGATATTCTGAAGAACTGACTATCCAGATCGCTTAAGTCAGCAACTGGTTCTAGAGTGCATTAAGGACAAGTTGACTGTTTGGGCTACTTCAGTGTGTGTCGACAAATTTTCTTGCTTATGTAGAATTAGTCATATAGACCATACAAAACTTCTACTTTCTGAATACTATCCTGCATAGCTGTCAAGTGGAGAATGTAAATCAATTAACAGTTCAATTCTTGAACATTTTGTCAACTCTGGACATATAGCTGGACTAGAGTTCTCCTTCAGTGTCATTTATAAAGTCAAATAGAATAGTTGAAAAGGAGTACGCGTTCAACAGTTGTGCACAGTGAAAGCACTGAGAATTCATCAATTCAAACGTGATCTCTGAGTCCAGAAGAAGTATGTTCAATCTCTTATCTTACCAAGCATAGTCTTAACACGTTCACAATCTTGTTACGATTTTATTATATCTGGTTAGTTTATTACTATCACCATTATGACACTTGTCTCATTCACCACTTTCTTCACATCTATCTATCTATTAAGTGACAGTCAATCACTTCACATTTCTCATCTACCGACACCAGTTTTCATCCTTGTCGGCTGCCTGGGTTTGCCAACTTATGCTATCCGCTGCGCCTCCGTGATGTCCAATTGTCTACTAAGGGTCGCGTGTACTGCATGGCAGTCCGGTCTGCTCTGCTGTACGGCCATGAAACATGGCTATTCAAGGTGGAAGACATGAGAAGGCAGCTTCAGGTGTTTGACCACCTTTGCCTTCGTACGATAGGCCGTATTCCTTGGTGTCTTCACGTGAGTAACGCAGAAGTCAGGTGTAGAGTTTTAGGGAGAGAGGAAAGGTAAGTCAGTTGGTGAGGTTGTGAACCTTCAACGACTGAGATGGCTGGCTGGCACATGTGTTACGTATGCCTAGTCACCAGTTACCTTGTCACACAATGTTGGCCGAAGTAGATTCAGACTGGAAAAAGGCTCGAGACGGCCAGAATAAAACGTGACATCAGTGTACGAAGTCTCTGACTGTTGGTTTGGGCCATATGGGGCGATACGGACTAGCCGGCTGAGGTCCACGCGAAAAGACTCTAGGTGATATGGTGCAGATGTATACATGCATTATTCTCATCTTAATCACTATACCGAACCTCACCATTTTTTCATTCTCTCTGTTTTCGTACTTTACATTTCTTTTGACTGAATTTTCTTATCTTCATCTTCCACTTGATCCACTGATATAAGGGGCGGCCAGTTGGACTGTCGTGCAGTCATCCCTGTTCCTGTGCTGATTTGGATGGATGGATGGTGGTAAGATGAAAAGCAGTTACCGTTATAGTGCAAACTGCTCAACTCTGTTGGAGATCTAAAGGTGAATTCGTACTGTTGCTAGCTGGATGTGGTGTGGTAGCATTAAAGTGTTTCCCTTAGATGACCACTAGTGCCACGCTGATGTTGCCTTCTGTATGGGAAGGGGTTCAATTAAAAAGGGTTGGGACAAAAAATACCATCTACCTTTCTATTCCTCGATATACAGATATTAGCGATAAGGGTTCAGATTCAAATTTGCACAGAACAAACTAAAGTCCGAAACTTCCAGAAGGGCCGTGTTTGAACGGCTTCAAGTAGATATCACTTGAGTTCTACCGTGATTTACCACCACCACCAACCTTTTGTTTTAGACAACTCAAGAAGAAATACCATTCCATGGTATGGGTATCTGGAAAGTGTTAACTGTCCATCACAACTCTGTCTGCACTCATATCTCCTCTTTCTCCAAGAATTAATCAATGTAGGTTCTGATGGTTTCTTTCTACATGATAAGTATGTTTCTAGAACTATGTAGTGATCGCAGTTAATCGTCAACTCATCTTCATTGCGTTCTCATAAGAAAATAAACTTAGTTTCTCATCCATGAGTATAAATAGCGTAATCTATAATACCACTGAATGATATCATTTTGCACAATCGACTGCAATAACTGTAGTCAACACTACACTGGACAAAGCGGCCGCCCTCTTCGCCTTCGTCATTTTCATGAACACCAATTGGCTATTAAACGTCACATACGACATTTCATCACTCATTTCAATGCACATGGATAAATATGGACATGAATTCACTTTCGACAATGTAGAAATTTTGGATAGAGGAAACACGAAGAATATCAGAGAATTCCCAGAAGCTTGACATTCTGCTCAGTCAGTTAGTCAGTCAGCAATCAACAGATGTATAGACATAGACCCAATCTATCAACCAATAAGAAAAATGATAAACGACAGAAAGGTCAAAGGTGAAGCAGAGGAACAGCCAACAGGAAAGTCTATGCAGCCAGTCAATGACACAACAATCGAAGGAAACAACCAATCATAGACTACATCGTCAGAGCAAGCCACTTAATCATTGGTGGAGAGATATTGACAGCTAACTTCATACTGAAGTTAGTGCTGTGGATAATGTCACTGTCTAGAAAGACGATGAAAGCTTTATGATTAAACAACAACCCAGCTATCAGAGAACACAATACAACCAAGATATCTGTCTCCTAAATGATTTTCTGAAGACGATCACCTTCGTCCAGCTTTTGACGGCTGTATTATCTCTTGTTCTACTTGTTGTAGACTTTTCATCGTTCTGATTGTCTCGACATTTATGAAGTTTATTTCCTTTGGATTCACAACTAACTTTTATCATTCAATTAGTTTACCCATTTTGTCTCTTTAATTGGTTTCACAGTACTATCCTTTCGTGGATATCCGTTTGTTCATTTGGATAATTAATGTGTAGCATGTAGGAATTTCGGCTGAAGTTAATTATTCAACAAACTTTCTCTTAAGAGACGATACATTAATGACATCTAAGCAATGTGCAACAAACAGGATACAATAAGCATATAAAAGCCAGATGAATTGATCGTCTAAAGTAGATAATGATAATAATCTAACTTTTCTGGACGTATTGTTGACTATCCTATATCTGCTAAGAAGAAGTCTAAGGGAAGTTGTCTCCCTCTTTTCTATTTCATCTACTTATATACCTACCTATCTACCTACCTACCTACCTATACACCTACCTACCTACTTGCACACCTACCTACCTACCTACCTACCTACCTACACACCTACCTACCTACCTACACACCTACCTACCTACCTACCTACCTACCTACCTACCTACCTACACACCTACCTACCTACCTACCTACACACCTACCTACCTACCTATACACCTACCTACCTACTTGCACACCTACCTACCTACCTACCTACCTACCTACACACCTACCTACCTACCTACACACCTACCTACCTACCTACCTACACACCTACCTACCTACCTACACACCTACCTACCTACCTACCTACCTACACACCTACCTACCTACACACCTACCTACCTACCTACCTACCTACACACCTACCTACCTACCTAGATAGATAGCATCGTTTCAACTACATGCAGCAGCAGCACACGCATACATGCGGATGTCAAAGCCAGCCAGGATCGGAAAGACAGCATGACAAGCCTCCCTTCATTATTCTGAAATCACTGTGGAGATCTAATGCACTCCAGTGCATTGCACTGCATAGCACTACATTACACTACGCTACACTAAACTCCACTACACTACACTATACTACGAAACGAAAGGTTTACGGTCAGTGGTTGGGTCAGGTTGAAGAGACTGGAGAGAAGGGGATGAAATGTCTATATGCTTCTGATGCCCTATTTTCCACTAGGAACCCAAACGACAAATAATAATATATTTGATAAATCTGGCTAATCGATGCAAGAAAGTTTAACGACTGTGAACATCCGAGTATTCCATCCGTGTTCGGAATTAAATCTGGTCACTCCATAGATGATTTGTCACACTCGCTTGTATATAAACATTTACATATGTCTACGTGGACAAACATATTGGCGGAGGGGGGGGGGACATGGGCTGGATTAATCGAACTATGAAGAACGTTGAGGCTACAGATATAAATCCATCGATTGGTAAAGAAATAGTGCCACTCAAAATGTCTGGTAGATGCAAGAACAGACAGATAGGTTCTTACTTCGTTGGTTCATCACCAGCCAGCCAGACAGAGTTCCACGTTGCTTATTCTTATTATTCTCGCCATCTCATCTCATCTCATCTCATCTTCAGTATCGAGTGAGCGAGCGTAGGTGCTAGCTGTTGATGAATATGTGTAGTTTGTTGGAAACGCCTTTCATAATACGCCAACTGCCAACTGTCTCAACCATCACATAGAAGCACTTACTCACTTGATTGACATTGGTATTGAAAATCTGGATGTTGTTCTTGATTTATGCTGAGTTGAGTGTAGAAGATCCCCACACTGATTTCAGGTTAATGAAG